TAAATTGGGGCAAAACATTATTGTATATTTTCTCAAAATTCTTCGAACAATAGAACAAATACAATCGACATGTAAAACACACCTATAGGCTATAGGCATTATAAATATGATTATTTTAAGACTGCTAATTGATAAAATCACTTAAAACCATTTGGATATATTGTATGTATGTATTATGTTTGCTTGTAATACTGTGTACACATTATTGTGATATTAGAAACTATACGCAGTATACCGATAGCACAGGATACTATAAGGAAGCGGGTCGATGGCATTTCCTGGACCTCGTACACACGTTTTCGCAATAATAGGAACAACACGCTCTTATCGTTGGGATAATAGAAGTAAAATGTAGGTTTATAAATATGAGACCCGAATAGTCTCCATTCAGAAGTGAAATATTAGAGCCAGTACGGAAGTAAAAGCAACTTCACCAAAGTAATCTTCCTGAAATATTAATTCGGACTTAGAAACATATTGATCAATCGAATTTAGGACTTAAATTACACTTAAAGTAAATATTTCCATTTATTGAAATATTTTAGTACTTTTGAAACATATATATAGTTTAAAATGTTAACAGTTTGAACAATTAAATGAAACATCTTATTCAATAAGTCAAAATATTGCTGATTATCAAATCATTTACAAGACCTTTTTTTCTACTTCTTTAAATCATTACCTGTACGGCTGTACAGGTACTCGGGATCGTTGCAGTATCGATGGTATAGACTTTTAGATGATAACAGTTAGTAACATTATTTGAATTAATATATTATATATTTATACAAGAGTAATTATAATCCAACGACCCAGCAGCTAAGTAAAAAAATAAAAGAGCGCCTTAAAGACCACACATAGGCAATACAACACACAACAATTAGCCTGGGATTATATACCCCGAAAAAATACGATTTATGAAAAACATTCTATCGAGAAAGCATAACAAATTTGATGTTAAATAACGAAGTTTGAAAATGGTATCATCTAATTGGAAATTTCGCGTATATGTGCATATTGTATTTTTCAAATCATTTTTAACAGTATCAACGGAGTTATTGCCAATTTAAATAGAAGTTATCGAAACGTAATGTAGATTATTTTCAACATTTTATTAGATAATATTTCTTGTAGCCCTCATTACAATACATTATTCGATACCAATGGCAAACAATATACAAAAAAAAAATACAATACCAATTTCTATGCTATTACTATTATAATCTGTAACCAATGACAACCACTTATAAACATATAGACTTATTTTATAAAATAATTTGAAAGAAAAAAAAAACACTATTGTGGGACCAATATGTTCCCGAAATAATAATGAATCAATAAAAAATAAGTGATGTCGCCTAGTGATATACTCCGCCAAACTCCGTGTAAAAAAACGCTAAGTATATAAACAGAACTACATCATCTTATAGCAACATCTTTGAACAATTATTGATATAATCTATATACATATAGGAGACTGCCCCCATTCACTCATCAACACCCAGACCAAACCGCTGGGTCTAGAGACTTGAAATCTTGTACAGAGGTTCCTTAAGCAATGTCGGGGCACATTTAGAAAGTATGTTTCGAGTTGCATCGCCGTGACGAGACGTCTAGTTTATGATAAAATAGTTTGCTAAATAATTGAATTTAGATTGGCGGCTCTTAGTAAAAAATATAAAAATACTATAGCATAATAAGTACATAATAATAATAATAATAAAAATAATATAGCCAACTGTCATTGAAATAGGGCAATAGGCAGTCTATGACTATTTACTAATCAAGTGTCTTATAGTCGTCAAGCTAAGTTCAATTATTGAGCAAACTATTATCAATGATATCTACAGTTCAAAGATTCAGGGCTGTTCTTAAAATGTCCAGTTAAGTGTCGGTTAACTTTAACCGGACATTGTAAGAACGGCCCATAGATATTAAATGATATAACAACTTTTGCAGCCGTTTTCTTATACTAGGCGGGTTTTATACGGTGTTTGGCTGTGTGTTTTTGTTCCATAAGTAAGTACAGTAAGTATATTATAATATAATATTAAGCTAGTTATTGTTTTTGTAAAAAGTCTAAAAAACATTTTAAAATCACCTACTTAAATATAAAAAAATTTAAATATATTAATCGTTCAAAATGTGAAAGCTCATAATAGTATATTTTACTAAATGCAATGTTTTAAAAATATTTAGACCAAATATTTAAGCAAGAGTTGCCTACTTATTTATAATTTATACCGTAAAAAGTCTAACTAAACTATCTACATATACTTATAGTAAAATAAATAATAAAAACAATACAACAAAACAAAATTAAAATACCTACTGTAAATTAAATGTTTTATAGTATATGTTTCATATTATGTATTTATCGTATGTTAAATATCATATTAACTGCATGTACTGTTGCCCCCCCCCTACCCCCCACCCCGAGGGAGCAATTTTTTTAAATAAATAAAAGGAAACACACTTATACGAGAATAATATGGAATGATTTATCATTGTGTTAAAATGTAATGCAATAGTGACTTATTGAATGACGAGGTACACTCGACAATTGCTAAACGTGAAGCAGAGTGGTTACCTACTTACTTCATTCTTTGATTATATTTATTTTTTTTCATTCATTTGTCAAGCAGCTAACTTAATATTCATTAAATTTAACCTGCTTTACTCACTCTGTATTATTACAATATATAGCTAGAGCAAAAGTAAACAATAAAATAATTATATCTTCTACATGTTACGGTTAATAAACTTACGCAATAATTTGATTAAATAAATTATTATTTTCACAGAGCTTTTTTTTTTTTAGTTTGTCGTAACGTTTTTTTTTTTCATGCAAACCTACAATTTCAATATTTATACTTTTTAGTACTGTAACAAATCAACTACCTATAAAGATGATGGATGTTTTTAAAATAACCTTAAAGCCAATTTTAATATTATGCAAGATTGTAGGCATCATCAACACATCGTATTATTTTGAATCTAATGGTTTATTGATAAAAAATACAAACTCGACATATCACTCATTTTTTGAATTTTCAAAAACAGTCTTGTTGTTAATATTGACTTACTATTGTTTTACAAAATTTTTTTTTCTCGATTCATTGGTTCTATATAAATTGTGGACCGTAATTATTGCATCAAGATTATCAGAAACCTGGATCATAAAGTATGATAAATATTTAAAATTGTTATTATATCATAATTGATTTTATTTTTAAATAGGCAATATAAAATCTTAACATGTATGTATATAATTATAAGCTCATCATATTATAGGTACGGACCAATTTAAAATCCAGTGATTTCAATTATTATTATTTCGAATTTACTCGTTTAAGTTTATCTGTTGCGTATCATCATTTTATATAATACGCATAATGACTGTGCCTCAAGGTTGTATTCCTCGGGTCCATAGTATTAGCTCTAGCAGAAGAGCATTAGAAGAGTTTAATTTTTCCGATGTGTGTCTGGATGTAAGAAGAGGTGGTAAATTATTTTTTAATTAAAATTTGTAATCTGTTATTCTAATCAAACAGTAGTAAAAATATATATGTAGGTAGTTGTGGCTAAAAAATTAAAATTCAAAAAGAGGGTCACCACAGTAAAAAGGTTGTGAAACACTGGTCAAGAACTCAAGAAGCGTGTAGACTTAACTAACGTGCGTTTTGTGCTGCATTTTGAAATAGACTATTCAGTGCAGTGATGGCAGGACAGTTTTTTATTAGATTTTGGTTAAATTACTTTGACCCCGGAATCCCGCATTATGTATACCTATTACCATTTAAAACATTATAAATAATGCTAACAAATAAATCTCTGACATTAAAAATATCCGTATAATAATTGTATACGAGTTACAACCTAACCCTAAAAATATAACTAGTAAGTAGTAACCCAGTAATCAGTATAAACATGACTTGAGTTCCAATATAATAATATTAATAGTTTAATATCAAATATGCTTTCTCGAAATTGTCATTGAACTTTTAAAGTTGAAAATGTAATAGGACCATTTTGGTTCCATATAAGCTCTCTTAATATATTTCAGACATATTTTACTCAAATTATACGTATAAAAAAAGTTGAAAATAAATCAAAATTAAAATCCATAGATAACTCGAACATTAAAACATAAGACAAGGCAAGGCATCTATGAGTACTTTTGCCAATTTTAAAATCTAAATGTTGAAGTTCTACTGAATAGCGATTAGGCACCTATTATAATGACTTCAAATCAATTATTGAACATCACACAAAGAGACGTGTGCAAACCTTATTTCCAATTAGAATTTAGAATTGCCTGTTAAAATAGTGGTCAGATAAATGTACATATTTTGTAAATATTGATATTTTTTCTTCATTTTTCTTAGGTTGATTAATGGCATCATCGAATTTGATCAAAAATTGATATCTCTCCCAACGTACTTACAAACTCACCAGCGCCCATTTAATAAACAACATTTGAAGATAATCTATGTTTGTACATTTTTGTATTACATATCAATAACGTTATTGCTCATGTATATATGGCCTATAAAAATAATGGAAATTAGTATATTTTTCATTTATTTTGTTCGTGTATCTTTCATCTTAGACTTTACAGTAATTGTTTCTTCATACTTTTACTAACAAAACTTGGAATATAGATTCGAAACATTAAATGATTGTTGGAAATATCTTCCTGCTGGACTATTGCCTGTTCCTGGTAAATGCTCACATTATGATATAGCGATGATGGTGGATAACATACGACTGTTACACGCTGAACTATCTGACATATTAAGAATATTCAGTTTGGGTCACGGACAAATGCTTTTGGCTTACTTTGTATTCAGTTATACATTAATATGTTAATTTATTTTTTCAATATAATTTGCGTAAAATATTCATCATCTTCAGAAGATAAGACAGTGACGGATATTGATAAGATATTGAAAGAATCTTTATCAGTTATCTATAATTTACAAAATGTAATTTTTACCATGTCCATTATTATTGGTGCCTCACGAGTAAATGATAAGGTAAAAAAAACACAAATATTATATTATATAGAATCATTAATCATCATATCTACCGATTAGTTACAATTATTTGATAATTATGAAATACATTTAATTATCATAACACCATTATATTATGTACGAATATTATTTAATTATTTTTATTTCGATGCAACGGTATATTTAATATTTCGATATCCTAAATTTCCACTATCGTTACCCACTTTCCCCTCACCACAAATTGTACATCGAGCTTCTTATCGTCTATAATATTTTACAACTAAACTTATTTATTACTTTCTTAGTCTAAATTTAAGTTTTTTTTTAAATTTTGTACAATGAATTTCAGAATAATATGGGTTTTTATTTGTCTGACGTCACATATAGGATCTTTAAAAATGCTAAGGCTTACAACTTTTTCGCTTGTGGGTAGTGTGTGGAATCTGGTATAAAATTTAATGTTTAAAATTTCCATACTTCTCAAAATAATCTAGAAAAATAAAAAACAAAGAAAAGAGGAAAGCCTACCTAAGCAATTTCAATTTTATACAAATTCGGCATTGTTTTTTTGTTGCAATATTAAAATGAATGAATTCAGAGACTCAAAATGTTTACCAAAAATGTATGTAAACATCTCTATTTCAAATATTAATGATAATTCATCGGAACACAAAAATTGTTTTGTTAATAAAAATTCATCAAATTTTAATTTGAACACATAATTTTTGAAAAATTAGTTCAAGATTACTCAAGTTTTTGTTTATGTAAATTAAAAATGTTTTAGTAAAGATACATACTTTTTTTGAATGATTAAATAGTAGTAACTACATAGAAAACCAATATTTCAAACCTTCATAAATATTATCTTCTATAATTTTAGTAGATTATTTCTCAAAAATTTAAAAAAATCTGCTTCACATGGACACGTTTAATCTGTCATATCCTCCTAATATGTATTTTTCCTCAATATACCTATATGTAACTGGACATCAGTCCTTGAAATATTTAAATAATAAGTGATATGTAATAATTTAAAATTCAAAATTATAATGCTAAGGTAATAAATATTCAATACTGGTATACTCACATCAGATTGCATGCTATTATTGCGTTGTACCTACTTATATATTATCACAAAATCGCTAGTAACTACCAACTGTAATAATGTCCATACTCCATTGGGTTTGGATTGTAGGTTTTGGCATACCGGGACAAGTTGTTTTCCCAATAGTATAGTAATGTTTATTATATCATGGTTCTATACGCAAATCTGAACAGTTCACAATACGAATTTGAGAGAATATGACGTGACAATTCAGTATTTCCACGGCGACGATTATCAAAAAAAAAACGAATTAATACATTATTTGGAATTTGGATACACGTATAGAGTACTACGCATTGAACGGCTGGACCTGCTTGTTGCAGGCTTTACTCCTTACACCTCAATTTTGGACCTCTGTTCACGATCAAAACCTGAAATTGTGTGACCAGTGACAACCTTAATATTTTAGTGTATTTATTGTATTATAATATATTCATTGTACATTTTGTTTTAACTTTATATTTTCAGAAAAGACAAATAATATCTTATCTACGGTTAACCAGGATCTCAAATTTATCAATTCCCATAAAAATCCAGGTTATTATATTAATTTAATATGATATTTATTTTCAATTGTTAAAACTAACAATTCATAATATACGTTTAGGGTTCAGACCCCCCCCCCCCCCCCGAAATTTTTGTTTGAAATAATATTGAATAGTTTTAAATGCCTATTATATTTGATAGGTGTCACTGTGATTACAACACATAAATAAATAAAACGGTTTAAACTAGAGAAACCTAATGTATAGCTCACATAATACCTACAGTATCTAATCTTAATTAAGATTAAACCCCCCCCCNACGGCCTTGATATCAGTGGTTCATAATTTCAACTATAAAAAGTTTTATTGCTTTTATCATTTTGCTGTCTCTTTCTTACAAACGTACAACATGACAAAATTTACTTTCACAATAATACATTTTACTCTATTATTTCTAAAACTACGCTGAATTTACCTCTAAGAATATTATCTAGGACGTCTCAGAGGATTTTATTTAAATTATTATTTTTTAGTAAGTTATGATCATTTTAAAATGTACAAAGAAGGGCATAAAAAATGCATGTGTGGGTCCTCTTATCAATTAAACCATTCATAAACATTCGCTTATAATTTTTTATGAGTTAAAAATATTTTATGAGCATTTCTAATTTTTGAGCGCTCCGAAGCGTCCTAACTAAAAGTTTAGAGCCGCTGACTTAGAACCATCGCCTAATGTGCCACAGATCACTGTATACAAGTACCTATATAGATTATGAATGAAAATATAAATACATTGATCTAAGTGCTAAGACCTTTCCAAAATAAATGTAAATATTTGCACACTGAAGCGATACATGTTGAGCAGTTGACCTCGCATAAAAGCATAGTTTTTTTTTTTTAGTTGTTTTATGTTCAAATATGGACGGATAATTACATATTAAATAACCAAGAATAATGGTTTAAGTCATTTTGTTGTAATTTAAAGATATGACTTTTCAAATTTATTTATTTTTGGCAAAAATGAATTAAATCTACTGTAGTACTTAATGCTTAATAGTAAAATTAATTAATTTAATCACAGTAACATCATCAAATATACTAAATTAATAGGTAATATTCTTGGTATTATAGGCTGACGTCTTCGCTCAGAATCGTTTTTCGTATACAATGATTTTAAATCCTTGCATTCGAATTTAACACCATCCATTACAGTGACCCACTTGTAACCTACTGCACAGCAGAGCGACATCCACTTAGCCGCTTTTTTATTTTAATTTGTTTATATATTTACTTCCTATATTTGACGATGAGTTGGTATTGTAATCGTGTACATAATATGAGAGGAGAACTGGTACATTTAGTTGAAGGGAACTGGTGACTTTTGCTCCAGTTAGTATAGGGGGGAGATTTGTAGTGGGCTGATGGTACACGTCCGATTCAACGATACTGTGGTGGTATAGGTATAAATATTGTGTATATGAAATGTTATATTATTACCACCCCCGCACATTAATATCACCACGGTCGCCTATACATTTCCAAAGTCCAAAAACGTAAATGTAAATATTTTTCAATCAATAATAATTTATTCTAAAAATGATATTCAATATTACAAAATTACAAAACTTTATTAATATTATTTCGACTTAAAATAATCTCCGCCCGGGGTATCATTAATTTGGAACTGTCAACAATAATTTACTTTATATTATGATAACAAAATATGTAACTACTATTTTTGTTGCAAATTATACTAATCAGTTTTATAATTATTTTTGAATTAGATTAAAATGTTTATGAATCAAGTATCAGATTTTGAATCCACAGAAATAACAGCATACGGATTTTTTAGTATTAATTTGAATCTAGTTATATCAGTAAGTACTTACTACTTAGGTACCTGTAATTATAATAAACTAATTGATATTATTCAATAAAATAATACACCTTGTTACATTAAACAATAAGATATATTAATATATAGTTATATGTATAATTGTATATATATATATTCTATATTCCTATAGATACCAATTTTGTATCACTCATAACTTACAAATAATAAGACTATATTATATAGTTAATGAGTTGATGTACCTATCCAGATTTACAGTTTAAGCCTAATAAAAAAAAACCCCTTACATTATATTATATAAACAATTAAAAATGTGTGTGTGTTTCTTTTTACAGATCATAATATTACTTATTTCTGGAATAATAACATTGATACAAATGAAAGAACACCCAATTATTTTGCAGACAGTTAATTCTACAGTGCATTTCTATCAAAAATTGAATATGTCGATTTAGTGTACAATAACTATTATATAGATGTCGTGCGTAGTACCTACTGCAGTGTACAGTAAATGGCAGCAAAAATACTAATGATGTCTAGTAAATTGTAGTCGTTCCTATCATATCAGCCTCTGATTAAAAAAAAAAACAAACAATTGTATAGGAATATACCTATTATTCATACTTATTACTGAATACTGCAGGGGTGCGTATGGTGCACATTTTTTGCATATTATATTGATTAAGCTTAATATAGAAGATGGGCAAAGTTATAAAAATACTTATTTCGACGTATTTTTATTAACACATTATCTTTACTATTATCGTAGGGATTAGTGATCTGCACATTTCAAAAGGCTGTGGTTTAATATTTATATAATATTTCGCTTTTGAATACGCTACTTAAATTCTTAAATAGATGTTTTACATTAAAATGTGTTTTATCATTATTATGTGTTCGATTTAATAATAAAATATAATTTTGAAACAAAATATGTGTAAATATACGTGAATTCTATGATATATAAATGCATAAAGTCCGTCAAATGGCCACTACGACATTTGCGTACATGTACCTACTTACACGATGCATATAAAAATAATACAATATTATTAGGTATAAATATAATTGTATTTTTTGTTATATGTTTGATTTTAATTTTAAATAAATGTATTAAAAATAATTTTTTCAGGCAAAAAGCTAACTAACTGAAACATATACATTCAAAATAAAATCATAAATCGGAAAGTAAGTAGAGAAACTAATCGTCAACGTATTTATTAAAAGATCTAATAAATAGGTGTAAATTGTTAAATAATTTTTAATTAGAATTATATATTTGCGTAGGTAAGTATTTATTATAATATTTTGGTATTTTAATCTAGAACCTATACAATTAGTATTATACAAAAGTACTGGGTCACTGTAATGGATATATTACATTTGAATTCAATGATAAATCATTGCAAACGAATTATTAGCGAAAACAGTCTCAGCCTATAATATCAAGTTATATTATTTATAACTTATGTTAATAAGAATATGATATTTTTGTAATTAGAGACTAGAGTATTGATTTTGTTATTAGACAATTGTCTTATATGTTGTTGTATAATGACTTAGAATAATTATATGATAACAATGCTACTTACTTCTTGAAAATATTAAGCCTCAAGAAGATATTCTAAGTAATAACTTTTCAATTCTCGGTTTCTATCAACATAATTCAATATTGAATAAATATGGGTCATAAATGGATCATGCATTTTTTAACATTTTAAATGTCTCAATGTCTACTGCATGCGACACCCTATAGTTCCTACCGATAGTTTCCACAGAGCATTAAAATATATTACATATGAACAAACAACTTAGTTTTAACTCTTTATCAGGTCGTAATTATACTAAATGTCCATAGAACTACAAAAATGCGAATTAATTAAGCATTAAGTAGTTTAGTTCTTTAGTATTAATTGGTCATTGATATTTGATGGTATGTGCTCTGAAATGGCAGTATTAATTCTTTCTATTCGATTTTATTAGATGTTATTGATAAGTTTATACCTAAACTCTTACTGTATAGGTGTCATGTTTCTACTTGGTTCAAAAAACGACTCAGAGACTTAGAAACGATGACTTCAGAAACCGGGAATTCAGCACGCTCTCAGAGTTAGCTATCATAACTTGTTTTTTAAATATCAACAGGTGTTTCTAATACTTAAATTCGGGTTGACCGAATTTTTTTAGTTCATTTTGAACTTTTGATTATGGCTCAAAAACCGAAATAGACAAAATGATAGTTATTGAGTGAAAAAAATACGCAGATTCGCACAGAAATTAGTAAAATCGAAGGACAACTGTTGACAAATTCAATGATTACAGTTACAACATTATACCTAGCTGTCATTATTCATTTTAGAGCCATGGTTAAGAGGTGAAATTGACTTAAAAAAATTCTGTCTATCCTAATTTGGTTTGGAAATGCATGTTGCTAATAAAATGAAAGTTGTATTGTGCATACGCACTGAAGAACTAAAAAATGTAATATCGTCAAAATAAGTGTATTTCTATATTCCTATTTCCTCTCGATAAACCCAAATCAATCCGAGGTTACTAGCTGGACTGAAATATAGGACTAACCACACTAAACAGTATGAGAGACCGTCTTCGATCAAAATCGTTTTTCGAATGCAATGATTTATCATAAATTTCTGTGACTTAAAAAATTACTCACTTGACACACCTACTGTAAGTGCACCAGAGTGATTACCTATACTTACCTTACCTCTTGTTCATATGTATTTATAACATATTAATTATGTTTTTACTTTGGGTACAAGATATTTTTCTGACTGCAAGGCCATCTATTTCGTAAGGCTTTCGTTGTCGTGGTTACTTAATAAAAAAACATTATTAACTTATAGACTTTAATAGCAGAGCAAAAACATCGGGTTGCATATTTAATTTACCTGTCAAACTTAAAATTCATTAAATGTAACCCCTTGCTATATGGACACTCTATTATTATGATCATATGACATCTTGAGCAAAAGTGCTAGCCATAAAATAATAATATCTTTTGTATGTTATTTTTAACCCTCTGACTTAATAATTTGATTATAATTAAATAAATAATTGTTTCGTTTGTCATTACGTTACTAATATTGTTCATATATAAAACAAAAATTTCAATACTTTTTAGTACTACTGGAACAAATCAACTATAAAGATGATGAATACTTATTTTATATTAACCTTGAGGCCAATTTTAATGCTATGCAAGATTGTAGGCATCATCAACACATCTTATTATTTTGAATCTAGTGGCTTATTAGTCAAAAATACAAAGTCAACATATCACTCATTATTCGAATTTTCAAAAATAGTCCTGTTTTTGATATTTACTTACTACACTCTTTCAAAAGTTACTTTTATCGATTCATTGATTCTGTATAAGTTTTGGGCTGTCACTATTGCATCAAGAATATCAGAAAACTGGATCATAAAGTATGATTCATTTTTTTAAATATTTATTATGTCAAAATTAGTTTAATTTTTGAATTGATATCTAGTATAAAATAATATAGGTAAAATGACAACATTTAAGTCCAGAGATTTTACTATTATTATTTTGAATTTATTGATGTGTCTGTCGGGTATTATATATATATATATATAATAATTAATTTACCCTAAAGTTATATTCTTCAGCATGTAAAGACAGTGGTCAAATAAATTTGTATTGATATATTTTTCGTTTTTCTTAGGTTGATTAATGACATAATCGAGTTTGATCAAAAATTGACTTCTCTCCCAACGTACTTACAAATTCACCAGCGTCAGTTTAATAAACAATATTTTAAGATAATCTTTATTTGTACATCTTTGTATTACATTACATTAACATTATTGTTGATCTATTTATATCCTATAAAAGTAATAGATTATAATATCATTTTTATATATTTTGTTCGTATATCTTTCATCGTAGACTTTACAGTAATTGTTTCTTCGTACTTTTACTTGCACAACTTGGAGTATAGATTCGAAACATTAAATGGTTTTTGGAAATATCTTCCTGCTGGATTATTGCCTGTTCCTGGTAAATGCTCACATTATGATATAGCGATGATGGTGGATAACATACGATTGTTACACGCTGAACTATCGGACATATTAAGAATATTCAGTTTGGGTTACGGACAAATGCTTTTGGCTTACTTTGTATTCAGTTACATTAATATGATGGTTTATTTTTTTTTTACATTTTTCTATAAATATACGCCATCTTTTAAAGATAATGCAATAATCGACATTAAAAAGATCCTGAAAAACTCCTTGCCAGTTGTCTATAATTTACAAAATGTAATTTTTACTATGTCCATTATTATTGGTGCCTCGCGAGTAAATGATAAGGTAAAAAAAACACAAATATTATATTTTATAGAATCATCAATCATCATATCTACTAATTAGTTACAATTATTTGATTATTATGAAATACATTTAGTTCTCATAACACCATTTATACGTACCTACAAATGTTATTTGATTATTTTTACTTCGGTTCAACGATATATTCAATAATTCAATATCCTAAATTTCTACCACCGTTACCCACTTACCCATCACTTTAAATTTTACATCTAGCTATTGTCTATAATACATAATTAAAATTAAAACTTATTTCTTACTTTCCTAGGCTAAATTTATTTTTACGATGAACTTTAGAATGATGTGGGTTTTTATTTGTCTAACGTCACCTTTTTGATCATTAAAATGATAAGATTTACGACTTTATAAAGACTCATTTGTTAATTCAAAATTCAAAATTTTACTGTTTAGGAATTTAAAATTAGAAATTAGTGTACTTACATCAGACGTCACTATTGCATCGCACTTACATGTTATAAGTTACCAGTAGGTTGGTAAAGTAGTTATGAGTGAGTTATTTAATAAGTTACTGGCAGGGGCGCATCCAAGATATTTTTGCGGGGCTAAATGAAATCATTTTTAAAAAGTTATGGTATTTGTTTTTAAGTATATACCAAAAGCACGCTTGAGATCTTTTTGTGATAATTTGTGTGTATCATAATTTAAAGTCAATGCCTAATAAAATTATTTAAATGTTGGTCAATCCCGACCTTGGTTGTGCCCTTGGTTTCTGTCTACTGATGCCCATGCACTATTAGGATTGGATTGTATGTCTTAGCACGCCAAGTCAAGCTTGTGAACCTTCTTAATAATGATATAGTAAAGTTTTCTATATCATAGTTTTTACTACAAATCTGAACAGTCTAAAATACAGACTTGAGATAATACGTGATAATTCAGTGTTGCCATGGCGACGTTTGTCAAAAATCTAATTTGTGTATTATTTGGAATTTGAATAGGTATATTATAATATATTACGTATTCAACCACTGGACCTCCCCTTTTTGAACTTACATACTGAGTCACTATTTCAAGGTCTAGGCCAAGCCAGTCCAAAATTTATTGTATCGGTCCTCGGACAGTCTTGGATAGTTAACTACACACTGCACTTTAGTTTTGGACCTCAGCGGCACCGCAATCTAGATCCAAACCTAATAGTGTATGACCAGTGACCACCTGAATATTGTAGTGTTTTAATTTTTTTATGTATGCATTCTTCATTGTTTATACCTTTATGTTTTCAGAAACGACAGATAATATCTTATTTACGGCTAACCAGGATTTCAAATTTATCGATTCCCTTAAAAACTCAGGTTATTAAATTAATATAAATTAATACATTTTTTTAATTATATAATATTATTAGGTTACTTTTAAGTGTGAAAGCCTATAATTTTCTATATACTCAGTTTCATGTTAATAAATATGTTGCCTAGCAACTTAGGGGTGGACTTTTCAAATTAAAAAAAAAATGTGTGTGTTAAATTAAACTTTAGGCTTAGAATGAAATTGTCTGTGTTTCAGTCAAACGGGCTCAGCTGTTCCAACATTGTCTCTGTTAGATATGAGCGCACAGTATGTGCTTTCTATAATAATGAAGTACTATTTAAGTAGGTAACTAAAAGTCGTAATATACAATTACAACATTACAAACTGTAAATACCACAATATCTAATCTGTAGTAATTTAGTTTTAATAGAGAAAAAAACGAAAATTATCATTATTGTGCATCAGAACTTAGAATACTTACATAGCTACTGCCGTCAGAGGCGTATATTTTATGGTTAGGATGGGATATGAAAGGTTATGATCACGGAAAAAAACACACCCCTATGAGTTTGTTTTCAATTAATATAAAGATGCAAAAACATATTAATCAACGATAAAAAGACTATGTTCTTAGGAAAACAGTAAAATATATGTGTAGTACTGCAGTTAAACTGCGATTTTGCAAGACCATGTCGCTGTTACCCCATCTTAGTATCTTACCTAACTTTCCTAATGAATTAAATGTGCAAATTGATTATTTTGAATTTCATAAATAAACTATACATTTCAAACACATCTCCACTCTATTAATATTTTTGTGAAATTGACAAAAAATTATAACAAAAGTGAGATGTGTAATGATTAAGACTAATTAATTTATCATAATATATGTTACCGACAAAGTCAGATATTGATAAAGGTTCAGATATTTCACTATTGGTAAAGCTTATGAGTTGTGACCAATAAATACAGCAATATTCTAACATACAAATGTCATGCTTATGTTTAGCTGCACACTAAACAAATGCATTACCACAAAGATGGTCATACAACTATAATAGGTGATTATTGCATCACTAAACATTTATTATTTAGTAAATCGATAGCTAAGTCTTTAGTTACCTTGAACATGATTTGGTGGTCAGTTATATAAATAAATATTTTTTTTTAAATAACTCTTCGTTAATAGTGGGATTTGCTAATCGAACTCCTAATTTTAATTTTGATTAAAATCATAATTTAATTGGAACTTGTATTCGTTGGTTGTATATTTTTTTTTGATAATCTTACCCAATCCACAATGAAAGACAGCTGGACGTACTATAATACTTTATAAATTTAGAATAGACGATACATGTAAATACATTTTTGCCCCCTCATAAAGTAAATTGATTTCTCAAATACACTGTGTATGGTAGTTAGTAGTAAGTCAGTAAGTGACACAAAAGTAGGTACACCTAGTGCAAATATACAATAATTTATTAATTTCCCTATGTTATTTTTTTATATATATAGGTAAATAGGTAATTTAAAATTGTTCAGTAATTTTTTGCATAGTTATATTTTTGATACAAAATAAATGTATGTTAACAAACAAATGTATAAAACAGTTGAATATCTAACTATTAGTTTTAATGTTTAGTTATTCGGAACGCATCTAGTTAAAAATCATATTAGTTTTCTGTTATGGATCCATCAGCATTTACTGTTATAATTTGCCAATACAATATTTTGTACAATACGTTTTAAGTAAAAGTGCGAATGCAATTATGATTATCAACTTTTACTGAATACAATTAATGGTCCTAATATTTAGGTATATTATATAATATATAAGTTTAGTATAAGTATAGTATATAAGTTTAGTGAAGTGGAGACTTCAAACAATCTCCTACTGGGGTAACATTAACACGGAACTGACTGTATTATAATAATAAACTCTGTATTATGATAACATAATATGTGACTACTGCAGTCTTCTATTGCATATTATATTAATCAATTGTATAATTATTTTTGAATTAGATTAAAATGTTTATGAATCAAGTATCGGTTTTTGAATCAGAAGAAATGACAGCTTATGGAATTTATAATATTAACTTGAATCTAGTTATATCAGTAAGTATGTATAATTATATAATAACTATTGATTAGTCCTATTCAATAAAAAAATTGATTACAGTGAAACCTCCCATAGTGGACACCTACCAATACCAGAGACCTCCGAAGTTCTACGGAACCACCTACAAACTTTCTATGATCTGAATCATTTGAATGGTGAACATCTCTAAAGAACGGGCGAAATTTCCGAGAGTGTCCTGTATTTAGAGGTTTCAGTGTATAATAGGTTGTAGGTACTTTCAAAATATAACTTATAAAATATCTATTTCCCATTCTTATACAGATTACCTACCTAGAAATAGACTATATTATTATACAAGTTGATATATTTAACATAGACTTATTAATAAAATATGGACTGCGCTTCCCCATATCCTACTATAGCAGGTTGACAGGTGTGAATATTGGTAGAAAGAGATAGTGAATACCAGTGTAAAAGAATAATCCGGTCTATGTTCCAACTACCTAAGGTATGCTTTCTTTTTCTAAAAATTAGGTTTCTTTGTTGTTGAACTATTCTCTTTCCCTCAATCTTGTAATTAATTGGTATAAGTCAAGGTTATAGATATGAATGCATGACGATGTTTTTTTTTTTTTTACTGTGCAATGTTTATATCCTAAACCTCAAGACTTCAAACACGGAACTTGTGTTATATTGTGAATCTGCGGATCTAGTTTTAAATAATAATATTAATATGATTTGAACAAGTAATGTCAAAGTACACCGAATGAAGTTCTGCTGAAAACGGTAGTAATCTAGTATTTGATAAGAACGCTTCACGCCGTTTTTCTCGGCAACCCACAACAGACCATCACACCATTGATTAAATATACGCGTATATTGTAACCATTCATATCTATAACTGTGGACCATTTCCTTGGTATAAACAGAACCCAAGTTGATTAATATATTTTTCTAGCAATGTTGATCCTCTCTCTGCAGTCATCAGTCTATTTTCCGTCTGCGGGGACAATAACATTTACGAGTCGTACGTTTGGATACACTTTCTGGTCAACGGCATTTAATTTTAATTGTTAAGAATTCTTTTTCTTTTTCATTTTTGCGTACTTCCACAGAAACCAGCTATAGTTGAGTCATTACTTTTTTTTTTATATATTAATAAAGTAGTCTTTCTTGAAATTGAAAGAATTGTTTTGTTAAGGTAACAGAAGCCCCATTAGAGGTCTATGGCACTTATAACCTATCTAGATTTACAGTTTGAGTCTGATAAAAAATATGTCATATCAACCTATACAATTTAAAATCTATGAACTTTTTTACAGATCATTGTATTACTTATTTCTGGATTGACAACAATGATACAAATGAAAGAACACCCATTTATATTGCAAACGATTAATTCTACAGTGAATTTCTATCAAAAGTTGAATATATCAAGCTAGCCATCGTGAACTGCAGTGAAATAAATGGCAACAAAAATACTACTGATATCTCGTAAATAGTTTTCGTTCATGTTTAATATCGAAAAGCAAAAAATCATAAGTATGTATACCCCTAGCTTACTGTGCACTTTTTTTTGGATACTAATCAAACGTAAAACTTTATATTATGGAGAGGGATAAACTTAAAAATAATTATTTGGAAATTTTAACATATTTACAATAACACATTATTTAGTATTATAGTATTGGCTTTCTACACAATACAAAGGACTGGTTTATAATATTTATACATAATATTTCACATTTGAATATAATATTTATATTATACTTAAATAGATGTTCTACATTACAATATGTTTTTACCATTATCATGACGTGTTTGTTTAAAAATATAATATAATTTTGAAACCAAAAAATATGTGAATATACCTACATGAATTCTATGAATATAATCGATAGTGAAATGGACGAGTTGATTTCGACATCAGACAATTTGGTCCCTACATAGTTTCGACGCGTGTAAATTAGACACATACGACATTAATTGGTGCATATAAAAAAATAAATAATATAATATAATAATTCTTCTCCTTCTTAATTGGTACTTACTGACAATTTAGCTCCATCAACGCAACGACGGATTGCACCCCCGTCTTAAGCCAGTTTTTCTCCATTGCTCACTCCCAACCACTATGCATTTTCGCAAGTGATGCTATCTGAACCATCCCCTCGGCCATTTATGTTCAGTTTCAACTTGTGGCCAACCCATTGGAAGCCGTCAGACCTCCACACGTGTCTAGCCCATTTCAGCCTATTGCTCTTAAGAACTCCAATTATGTTTGTTTCGCCTTACAAAAAATTATTATTATTTTAAAAAGAAAATCTATTGATAATGTGTGTGATTGATTATGAAAATAAATTCATTAGGAGCAACTCAAAAAGACGTAGAAAAACTAACTTCACACGACGTTTCTAGGGTTCGTGATAATGTGTACAGAGATCGAACTTATATTTTACCAAAACTACCAAAATCAATTTTAGATGTATATTAAATAATTGAAAATCTACAAATCACATCAAACTGAGGGGAAAATATGATATTTGTTATTTATCAAAACTAAGGTAGTGATTGCTACTAAACTATGTTCAGACAGAATAGTGCATTCTATTTTACCAACAAAAACGTGTAGGTAGTTCAAAATATAATATAAAACTGAATTTATTGAACGATTTAATAAAATCAATGGGTATACCTACCTTATATAGTATTTTATATTACAACTTAACACAGAAGAAGGAATAACAATAAAATATTAGAATTTAAATATTTTCGCATTAAAAACCTAACTCATTGAACCCATGAAAGTGCGTTTAGTTGCATATGTGAATAACGCGGCGTAAAAATAAGCAATGTTAGAAATTCAGAATGTACATCTGTCTTGCAAAATATTATGTTCAATAATGTTTCAATGGATAGTAAAAATTCTCCGATTCTGGACATCAGCATCTTGAATCTAATTTTTGTTGGTACTTTTGAGATTTCAAAGTTCATAATTCTTAGTACGAGTCTTAAAAAACAAAATGATAAAAATCGTATTTTATACGCAAAACTAGTTTTTGAAAAAATTGATTTTATTTTTTTGGTGTAACTCGAAAACAAATAACTGATATTAGACACTTAAAATGTTTAAGAAATATTTATATTAGCTTTTTAAATAAATGGAAAGATTTTCGAAATATTTTTACTATTTGTGAAATATTTATGGCTTTGAGAATATTTTCGAATTTTTTAAAAATTTTTTTGAATTATTGTCGATAGAATATTTTTCACTTAATAAAATCTCGAAACTTGAAATACTCCAACATAACTTAAATTTTTATTTGCTATAAACAATGAGATTTTCAAAATATTAAGATTAATTTTAAGCAAATTTTACCTTGAACCAATTCGTAGTATAGTATACGGTAGCATTGACTTGTATGTTGAAAACAGTTATAACATTTAAATATTATTATCGCCACATAACTTAACATAATAATAATTAATAACAATAACATTAAATGTTTCACTTTTGAACATTATTATCATACCAATAGTATAATAATCCTCTCATATAATATTTATTGTTAGGATTAGCATGTTTATGACTTTAAAAACACTAAAAAATATTAACAATTATGTAAATATGCAGAATAAATATCAAAATCTAAACTAAAAAAACAGTTATGACATTATTTAAATTTTAAAATATTATTATAAATGAAAGTATACACAAAATTAATATAAAAATAGTTTTAAAAAAAATACAATTATGCAAAAAAAACATGAACTTGCATTTTCAATATGTAGTGTAATGTAAATTTATTTTAGAAATAATTTATTCTCCACATAAACATGTAAATTACAGAATAGGACTAATACATCTATTGAAAATACATCCACCCCAAACTCTAAAACAACCTTGTGTAGTCAAGCAGCATTGGAATTTTTATACTTGCGAATTTTTAATAAGTGTTAAAGGTGATTTAAAACTAAAATAATTCGGTAACACTGCAGTCACTATTGGGTAGCTGTAATTTTATAGAATTAAATAAGATACAGGCATTACTATTTAATTTCGACTGTCGGTCGTAAAAATCATTAATAAACAACTAAAGATAGATTTTTAAAAAACTACACATTTCATATTTTTTCGTTTACTTTAGCTGTGAAACCAACCATGCTAACCTAATCTTAATATTGATATATATAATATAATATAATATAAATTAATTTTTAGTTTTAATTTTTCTGATTTAAAATAGGTACCTGGTAGATTTTACCTACATTTATTGTTTTTTTTTTATAAAAATATGCATTTATTCAGAAAAATCCCGAATATATGCAAATATATATTCAAAATAAAATGTAATTACTCTATTTCTATGACATATACGAAATAAGTTTATAACTTGGTCTGCAATATGCACTACTAAAAGAAAAAGTCATAAACATCCTAACCCTGTTTATAATATTAATCAAATAATGAACCTATAATACTATCATGTATTTTAACATTAATATTACAACATTTTCAATTTAAAAACACACATTTTGTATCTACGTACCTTTTCAATGAATCAAAACAAAATATAACGCACGTACTTGAATGTTAGGTCATAGATCAATGATGTAAAGACTAACAATAAAAATGTTCAATATTCCAGTTTGCCTTTACTGGTTCACATGTAAGATTACTAGTTAAGTAAATTTCGTCTAAACCATAACTACATTTGCGATACCTAATATTATTACAAATAATATATGTGTTTTAATACATCACATAATAATACACAGTAAATATTTTGTATCGAGTTTAATTGCCCAGTGGACTTTCATTCTTTGGGCTCGTCAAATAAGAAGAACATTTACCTCAACTTTCAAGATTAAGTAGGTAAATAATAACTATATTTAAATATTCAATCAAGTTCAAAAGGTTTACCTTTTACAATTAGAACAATTAGGTTAGATGTGTGTAACAGAAAACAGGATATTATGTTAACAATACATACATACATACATACATACATACATACATACATACATACATACATACATACATACATACATACATACATACATACATACATACATACATACATACATACATACATACATACATACATACATACATACATACATACTTAAATACTTACATACTTACATACATGCATACATCAGAACATTCTAAGCTAATTCCCCATGTTATAATATAAATAATATTTATGAAAAATGTGAGCAAATTGAGCCAATGCGTTCGAATCTAACATTAAAAAATGATTACAATTGTTATGCATATTTTAAACAATACAATTACATGATGTAATGATGTACATGTTGAGCAAAAAGAAAAATCTTTGGTTAATGTGAAACCAAAATTGTCTATCTACGAGTGTCTGACTTTGATCAGTAATGCCACATAACCCAACGTCGGATATCCAAAAGCCAAGCCCACCAATTGCAGTCAAAATCTAGCGCCCGAACAGAGCTAGAATAGGCAACTCAAACTACACTCATCTGTGTCAACGAACGAGTAGGAAATTGATAGTTACTCATAACATCTCATAACATAAGTAAGGTTAGACGAGTGAAGTGCAGTGATAAGTATCCCAGAAAATATAAGTCCACTATTCTGCTCATCAAAACCATAAATGCTTAGGAGTTATAACGCTTAAGTAATTCAATTTACTACGAGTTGTATATTCGATTTTTATCCATAGAAATTATTAGAAAAGATGCATATTTGAAAAGTAGAAATAAAAATGTACTATGTATTCCAAAAAGTCAAAAAGTCAAAAAAAACTATAACGATAAAATAAAATTAACAATTAATTTTTTTTTTAAGGTTGGTTGTTGTGATCGTTTAAATAAATAATTTTAAAAAATGTGTTTCTTAAATATTGTTACAATATCTCTTACATTTAGATAACAAGTATTCAATCATAAAATTGTTCTATTCGGTAAAATATTATAGGTACTGTATAAAAATATTTAACATAATGGAATATTATGTGTGTGTCAAGTTGTGTTAAAATAAGAAAACAATATGGTGACATAATTGAAAAAAAATCATAAAATTAGTGAAAACTAAAATTATTATTAGAATCAATTGAGTGTTTGTGTCTCATGGTGTAATTTATTATTTAGAGTTTCAGGCGTTCTTCGGCTGTTTGAAAAGACATTAGAGTATTGCTGGTTGCCCAAGAAGAGTAATGCATTTTACATGTAACATTTAAAAGGAGTTTGGTGTTGTGAAACATACAAATATACTAAATAATATTCATACTATTTCTATTACACCTGAATTAGTCATCTTAATTGATAATAAGCTTATAAATTACGTTTTTGATGTCTGAGTTAATTTTTAAACCTTTTTATGGTATATTATTTATTTTTTTGAACTTATTTCTTGAAATATTACGAAAAATAAAACTTTTAAAAGGTTAACAGGCGAGTGCCA